TCGTAATAAAATATCATCATTAATTTTAAAAGATTCAATATCATCGGAAGTGATATCAACAGTCCACAAGTCAGAACGAGTTATATATTGCTGTAAGGATACATCAAAACTCAAATTAGTATTCATTGAAACACGTACAATAAGTCTTTTGAGCATTTTAATCCAGCAATCTAAATTTTTTAGACGAGGAGTTATTGTTATTTTTCCTGATCTCATATCAATAAATTGATTAATAAGATGACTTTCTCTATTATCTGAAAATAATAATGTTTCAGGTAAATCTTGTTTAATATTGTTTCGTAGAATTTTTTCGAAAACAATCTCTTCAATTAATTGATACAAATCAATGATATATTTAAGTTCAATTGTTGAAAGCATAGAATCTCGAAGTAAATTATCATTGAGACATATTTTTGAATGAATATATTGTTCGACAAAATTTTTAATTGTTAATATTGATACATTCTTGTATTCAAAATGACGTAAATATGTAAAGATATAATCAAGTGAACCAAGATAGTGAAGAATATCATCATTTGAATTTTTTTTAATTAAATTTTCCAATTCGATTCGTTCTTTATTAATCAATTGTTTTTGTTCGATACGTCTTCGAATATCAGTAATCATTGATGTATTTTCAGCATAGAGTTCAAATTGATAATTTAGAAAATGTAATCTTTCTGTATCAATTAATGGTAAACAACTGATCTTGTCACGAAGCATAAATTCAATTTCGTCATAATCACAAATAATGTCTTTACCTTTTCCATAACCATAGTTTATAATACATCCATCATCAATCAATTTTCTACTAATAAATTCTTGATCGATACAAAGAAGATGTTTTTTTTGTACAGCTTGTAATGATACAACATGTGGTTGAAGTTTTTTATTCATTGTATTAGAATTCATAATTTCATGAAAATGTTTAACAATATCATTTTGTAATTCAGCAATAGTTTTTAAACAAGCAACTAACAAAAGACTATTATTATCATCTCCTGATGAATTCAATAATAATTTAGAAATTTCAGTTTTTTTTGCAAAATCTTCCAATGAATACTTATTGTCAAATGTTATAGTCTGAGAACCTAAACGAACTTCTTTAAAGTTAAGTTTATACCATGCTTGAATAAAATATTCATATAATTTTAATGTTTCCTCTTTATCTGAATCATTGAATAAAATTTCGCTAATTGTTTTTTTCGATGCATTTTTACGTGTTATTCGATAATTCAATTTTTGGATAAGATAATTTGTAAACATAACAATTGGATAGAGATATTGAATATTTGTATAATCATCATATCGTTGAAGTAAAAATATCGTTATTGGATATACTTTATGGGCATTTGGTGTTATTCGAAGTTTAGCACGAAATGCATCCATAGGATTACCTAAATGAATAGTGATTATGTTGAAAAAATGCAAAAGTGGATATTGATTTTCATCTTCAATAAGTTCATCGATTAAATCATTTAATATTGATTGATTACTTTTTTGTTTTAGAAATGTTTTATATTTTAATTTATATTTTTGAATTTCTTCGATTATTGATTCAATATGAGGAATAATTAATTTATTTTCAATAGATTTTTCTAATTCAATTACCTTTTGATGAGTATTTAGAAAATCTTCTTGTAGAAAATCACCAGCAATTAAATGATTCATCAATTTAAATAACCATATATAACATTGATCTGGTTCAGTTGATAATTGACATAGAAATTCGTAATCTTTTTCAAAATGTTCTCGAAAATAATTACGATCAGGTAGATTTGAATTATTTAATTGATCGAGTTCATGTAAGAAAAGTAAAACAGCATGAATAATCATATGAATAAAACGAAATGAGATAGATAAATTAAGATAATCAGGTTTTTCATTTATATCACTTTCTTTCGCAGGTTTCATGCTATAAAAACCAAATCGTAAGTTATTATTGTGTTCTCTGATATTAACTGAATTATTTGATATGAGACTTGGCAAACATATAGAATTTTCCAAGTGTTCTACATAATTTTTTGGCATTTTAAGTCTTTCATCAAAGAGAATACTGCTGAGAAAAGTTGAATTTTTATAAGCTTTAAACGAGAGAAATATAGCAACAATATTCAGTGCAAGTAGACGACGATGTAACATATCTAAACTCATTGTTTGATTTAAATGATAATAAGAATCGACAGAAAAATTTTGACATAATAAAACCAATAATTTATAACCAATAGGTTCAAAACATTTGTTCAAATCTGTTTGTAATTTTTCGATAAGTTGTACATGATCATCATTACATTTGTTTGTAGTATAGAAATTTACATAATGATGCACGAAAGTCATGATAAAACAATACGATGCATGTTGATTATTTGAACATCTTTCAATTAAATTTTTCATTTCATACACTAGTTCATTATTGTCAAGTGTTTTATTCATATTTATGTATTCCTGTGAACCTTCAAAAAGTGGTGTTGGAAGAATAATATTTTGCTTAAATTTGTGCCCTTGTTGTTGACTATATCGTGAAAAGATTTCCTTGATCCAATAACAATTTCGATTGACAAAAATATCATATGATTCTTCAAGTTTTATATGATACATTTGACATAATTGTTTAATAATATATATTTTTAAAGTCAAACCAAATTTAGATTGATCTTCTGTAAGTAGTTTATCGATATCTTCCATAATCATACTATGATTATCTCTACTCAATGAATATGCATACATTTCAGTATAGACTTTTAGCCAAGCAATCGAAACAATCATTGAAAGTCCATGATTAGATTTATTACTATAGATATTCTCTCGAAAATAATCATAATAATCGATTAAATATTTTTCAATCATATCTTCGTCAGTAATAAAACTCATAAGAGAAACATATATACGATTGATCATAATACATTCAATTTTTTGTTTCTTATCATTTGATTGATAAAAATATTGATCAAGATTTTCAAGTTCAGATATTGATGATAATTCTGTCATTCTAGTTTTAATTATTGACATTAAATGAAGTTTTTGATCGATATATTTAAATATTTTTGCTGAATAAAACCATAAATTCTTATCAGATTTATTTATATATTCAAGAACAGTACAATATTGTTCACTATGATCGATTAACCAATTTTTTAAAAATTCCATTTCAAGTTTAAGTAATGATCGACAATTCAATAGATTCAATGAATGTTTACTTTCAATTTTAATCATTTCACTTAAACGATTTATAAACACATGAATAGTATCATATGTTGGAAAATTGCCATTTAAAACAGTACTATTCTGATGAGGGAGACAAATATTTTTGAAAACAATTAAAGCTCGATCGTTAGAAAGTAGATCCATAATACAACGAACAAGACTATCAAAAGAACGTAATTTTTCTAGATTATTAACATTGTAATGATCTAAAGCCAGTACGCCTTGTACAATAAGACTGTATGTAGTTGATAACTGTGCTATATTATCCATACGATCAATAATCGATGAAGAAAGAAGTAATTCAATTAAATTCATTAAACTTGTTTCAATAAATGGATCACCAGCACATTCATAAGATTTATCACTTAATGATTGTTGTGGTGGAGCTTGATAAAATTGTTGTTCTATTTGAGCAAGAATATAGAGATTACTTGAATTATTTATCGATGTTATTTTTGTCATATCATAAATGTAAAATTGTTCATCGAAATTCCAATTTTCTTTACCAATAAGTTCTATACCGATTTCAAATAAATGTAATAATTCAATTAATTCATTATGATAAAGAAGAAGATGTTTAAGTTTATCTTCGACAGTTAATGTTGAATTGGATGTTAACAAACGTTGTGCAAATGAAACAGTTAAATGATCAATTCGTATCTCATCTAATATAATTGCAATTTGATCATGATAATAATGTTCAAATAATTCTAAATTATCAAGTATATTTTCAATATTTTTTCCATAGATACTTGTACTTCGTAGTTTTTCCATTGCAAAACGTAATAATTGATCATGAGGAAGATTAATATCAATATTTTCATTTGGTTTTGTAATCATTTCATTTATTTGACGAATAATTTCACGTTCGAATCTTGCGCGAGGTAGATGAAGATCAAAAATAAGTGAAATTTCAATTGTATTCATATACGTAAATGTTTGTTCCATAGATTCAAATGTTAATTTCAAACAATCAAACCAAATAGATTTTAAATTTTCATATATAATATCATTCTGTTTCGACATAAGAAACATATATGAATCTATTAGTGAAGATTTTTCAAGATCAATCAAAAGCATTAGAAAATAATTACAATAATAGAGTAATATTGTCATTCTCAATGCATCATCAATTGAACGACATGAACCAATAATTGTTCCATTTGTGAGTAGATCATGACGCCAATCAATAAATTTAGAACGACTATGATTAAAATCAACTGTTCGTATTAATTCTAAAAGACGATTTTTAATAATCATATGAAGAGATTCTGTATCGATATTTGATTGAGACAATAATTTGATTATAGAATCACGTCGATTATTAATTAAATATTCTTTATCTTTGCATGCAACTGTATATCGAACTCTTATAAAAGATCGACTAATAAGTTCATTGAAAGTAATATTTGATAGAGAAAAATCTGTATGAAGTAGAAGATTACGATATGAAGGATTAGTTAAAACATCCAATGATATAAGTTTATGTTTATTAAGATTATCAATCATGACTGGTGACCATCCATTAAACAAAATATCATTTTTAATTTCATGCATAATATTACGTTGTAAATGAAATATTAACCATACACCATGATTACTTATTGGTATTCTTTCGTTTGCTACAAGATGTTTGAGAAATAGAATATGTTTATATTCTTCATGATAATCAACACGAATAAGTAATAGACGAGTATTATTTGATCGATAATGTTCCTGAATCATTCTTCGTAATTCAAATTCACTTTTAAAATTACCTATTTTAACTTCAACAACAAGATCATTATTGTGTATATATTCAATTTTTTCATATATTTGTGTATAAGTATAAATAATTTGATTTGATATTATCGATTGATTTAATGATTGATCAATTAAATCGAAAAATGAAAGATTATTATGTATATTATAGTATTGTTCTATTAACTTTTGTATCTGATCATTATCATCATCATTATTAATTTTACATGATAAATAAAGAGGAAAATCAAATGAACTTGTACATATTAATTTCTGTTGACAATATTGAATAATTTCATCTTTTCGATATTCATTATCATCTTCAGAAATTTTTAAATAATCATATGCATCCATAACTAAATTACAAATATAATCTGGATTGAAATCAACAAAAAGATGTTTCTTTTGTGGAAAATTTTTATTCGAATTATATGATAATAATTTATCAATCCATTCTAAGAAATTTGATGCAACTATTAAATGATATGAATGAATAAGACTTTCTATATCAATAATATGTTTTTCGAAACGATTGAGAAATGGAGGATCACAATTTATTAAATCTTGTTGTCAAATACATATTATACAAAAGAAATCATCATGAACCAGAAAACATGGTTGATAGAAAGCACCAAGTGTAATACGACAATATTTTTTACTTCCTGATACATTAAAATTTTGATTAAATAAATCATAAAGATTTGCATATATATGATTCATACGACGCATTATCAAAGTTACATTTGTTTCAGCATGAAGAATTATATCCATTAATATTCTTTGATTATATTGTTCACTATAGGTTGTACCTGCAATTAAATCATCTGTTAATGAACTACCAATTATTATTCGTGTTGATTGTTGTTTAGCATTAATATATCGTTCAACATAATCGAACATACTTTCATTTTCTCCGATTAACATTAAATATCGACCATTATGTAATGAAAGAGATCGATCAATCATTTGATTAAATGTTAATGATTGTTCTTGTTCGATTAAATATTCTTTATGAGCATATTTACAAAAACGTTCCCATAAAAATTGTGAACCATCAAAAATTTCATCAAAATTAATTCCTAATTGTCGTCGAACAGTAGTATACGATTCTTGTTCTGTTGATGCATGTATTAAATCATTTACAACTCCTTTAATCAAAGAATAAAAGTCACGTAGACCAAAATAGTTTTTATATTTAGATTGTTCATTCATATATTCGTATAAATCAAAATAGGCAGCAGCAAGATTTCTAACAATTGAAGTATCGATTAGAATAAGATGATTAGAAGTCTCAAGTAATGAAGATGCTATAGTTTCTGCTGTTAATCGTAAATCATGTACAGTTGGATCAGCACAAGGTAAATATAATGCACGATTCATTTTTGCTGCATCAAGAGACCAATTCGATATACCAATAAAACCATATCTACATGTTTCCATTTCTAATTTACTATGAAGTACTTTTAATGGATTATGTGAAGATAATTCAGCAAGACCAATTTCATCAAATACAATCACAGGTAAAATATTAGTATTTCTTTCTACATCTAAATATTTTTCGGCACATTCAAATAATTTCATAACATTATCTGAAGTACAATTTTGTGAACCTTGATATGAAATAGGAATTAATTCAGGTAATGTTTGAAACAATTTTTGATTAGATCGTTTTCCTTTTAAATTATTTAGAACGATATTAACAGCTAATGTTTTACTTGAACCAGGTTTACCACATAGAATAACTGGTATTCGATTCAAAACGCATGCAAAAATAACAAAGATATTATCGATAAGTGCTCGATTTATAGCCGTACCCGATGGTAATTTGATCGTGTCAATCAATTTCATTTGTTGATTTTGTAATAATCGAATTAAATACCTTGATATATTGCTTATGTTTTGAAATTTGTTGTTAAGCACTACTGAAATATTATTCAAATAAGACTCTCGTAATTCAGAGGAACTAAGACGAAGATAATATGTAAGAAGAAGTGCAACGAGAGTTGTTTGTTGAATAAATTCTTGATTCATAATCCTAGAATGTTCATAGATGAATTCAGGAGATAAATTTAGAAGCCAATTATAAAATCGACAGAAGCGTGCAACATCGCGTAAAGATACACTACTCTTATCTTCATTCGTACGAAAGAATTGCTGCGATATTGCAACTAATGATACTATACAATCGAACCATGACATGTCATCTGAGATTTTATTACATTTATTTAGCATTGTTCGAATATAGACAATTTCTGTTTCTCCATCAAGAAATCCGTAATCCCAAGTATACTCAAGCATTGTTTCAGGAATTGGAACTACATGATATATTAAAGATTCTCTACCTAAACGAGCATTCAAACGTTGAATATCATAAGGATCTTTTTTAATTCC